CCGGTTGGGTGGGACCCGCCTGGGCCTGAGGGGCAACTCAGGAGGGCTCTGAGCCCAGAGATAGGTAGGCCACAAATTTTCAATTAAACAACTCCTGGGGTCTCTGATTCCCGGAATGAGGGGACTCTAGTGTCTCCCAGACGCTGGACCATCAAAGTCCTGCTAGCCTAGGGGGGACCTCAGAAATGCCCCCTAAACTACTCCTCCCCTTTTCCCCCAACAGCTGCTGGCTCAATGCCGCTGGCCTGCTGCCCCTCACCAGCTCCCGGCCCGGTTGGCACCTACCCACCAGGATGCTGGCAGTCCTGCCCTCTTCTCCCTCCTACCCCCCTGCTCCCAGCGCCCATGCCAATTGTGGGCCTGGGGTGGGGGAGGGTCACCCCTGTGCCTTGGTGCCAGCCAGGCGGGCCCAGGTCCCCAAGCCTACAGATAAGGCTGAAGACCCTGTTTTCAAAACACCTCCTCCAGAGGCAGCATTCGAGTCAGGGCCTCCAAAGAGCCCAGGAGGTTATGACAGCCTGATGAGCAGTTACTGGAGTGGAGGTTCCCCTCCCCAGGGTGGGGGCCAATGTTTCTCCCAGCCACCAGGCGCCAGCATATGCTTGGGCACCAAAGTCCCTGCAATTTCTCAGAGCCCTAGTGCCTGAAGTCTTCGAGGGAGTAAGGTGGGGCTGTTCTCTGCCCTTTGATCCCCATAAAGGGAGGGAACCAGCCCAGAGGGCAGGGGGCAGGGAGGGAGTTCACAGGGCCCCTCCATTTCACCCCTGTCAGGGACAGCAGGGTAGGGTGTGGGGCATCTCTTGGGTGGGGTTATAAGTAAGAACTGACAGCATGTCTCAGCAGTAGCAATGGATGTCAATCACAGGTACATGATATCATATGGGAATGGGATGATAAGAGTAAGGGGGATGTAAAGGGTACACATGTTCTAACCTGTTCCAGCCCTGACCTTGACCCCCATCCAGAAACATTTCCAGAGTCAGCCAAATTGAGCTCAAGGTAAACTACAACTCCCAGTATGCACCACAACTGTTCTGCATGTGTCTTGGGAGTTGTAGTTCCCTTGAGTTGACCTGTGCTCCTCACCCCAAGAACCTTGCTGAAGGAGTAGGAAAGGCAATAGACTTGGGCACAAATCTCTAAGAAAACTGTTCAAAAAGAAGTAAAAGGCTTGGTGATCCATGGTGGGGAGAGGACCCCTTTTCCCAAGCGAGGGAGGGGAGGAAAGGAGGAAGGAAGGAGGAGAGGATGTCTGTTGAAAGGGGCATATGGGTGGGGAGGAGTTGAGGGGGGGCAGTGGAAACAGGAAGGAAACTGAAGCCAGAGACATGAGGTCGAAAGCAAGGGCCTGGGGGAGCCCCGCTCTGAGGCCTGGCAGAGTCTGGGAAGGCACCCCCCACCTCATTCTGGTGGCCAAGGGAAGCTTAAGAGGAAATTAATGACGTCAAGTGGTAGCAAACTGATGTGCCTGCGTGAGTTACTGGCTCCATATTCCTGCTATCAGTCTGTAATGCTTGGATCTGGCACAGGTGTTTGCTGGCTGGGGTGCTCTGAAGGGTGACCGGTTTTTAGAGATGCCATCAGGCAGAGGAAGAGATTGGGGAGGTCAGGGCCAGGCCTGACGGTGAGTGTGGTATGGTACGGGTGAGATTAGGCTCAGGTGTAGGGTCAAGGAAGAAAGCTTGCAACTAAGATTGCTGTTCTCTAGGGCAGAGGCCATGGCAGCTGGGAGGCCTCAAGGGAGAGCTAAAATGCTAAGACCACCAGCCTCTCACCTACTGCAAGCTACGGAATAGAGCAGAAAGGACACCCCTCTCTGATTTCCCTGGGGAATTTGCTAAAGGTAGTGTCATTCCCTTCAATATTAAAGGTGGCAACACTGGGTAGAGAGGGCAAGGTCAGGATGGGCAGAAGACCTGCTTTTCCTGGAATCCCCAAGGCTCAAAGACACACTCACAGGCCCCAGTCAAGACTTGGGCCTGGTTGGCTAGGGGTCTTTCTTGCTTCCTCTGAAGCCCTGGAGGGTGGATGACAGTCTCCTTCCCCCTAGTCCCCCAGGCCCGTCTTGGCGCCTGGCCGCCTGTGTTGGCAGGGCTGGGGGGGGGGGGGGCGGCGAGGCAACTTCAAACTGTCCGGGCAAAACGTCAAGTTTACTCACGAGTTTACTCAGCAGAAGGAGGGGGAAGAGGCCAGAGCAGGCACACCCCATGCCAGGGTCCTATCCCCATGCCTGTCCCCACCTTCCTCCCCCACCCTTCTCTTCAGCTGTAGGCCAAAACAGGCCTAGGTCCCAAGGCCTTGTAGCAGGGCAGTCTTAAATCTCAGGAAGGTCGGGGAGCCAAGCAGGCAGGAGGGAGGGAGCCCCGAAACAGGCCCAGGGGCTTCTATCAGAGGGCAGTGCCCTGCCTGCAGCCCATTCACTACCCATCTTGGGGCCTCGGCCTTGAGCCAGGAGAACTGGGCCTTTCGGCAACCAAGACAGGGGTAATACCAAGCCAGGCTTCTTCCATCTGAGTAGTCCCCTGGGTAGTGACCTCTGACCTCAAATGCCCAGTTTCAGGCTGTGCCTCAGGCACCAGCATGATGCCATCTAGACAGTCACAGGGTCAGAAGCTACTTCTCTCAGCCTTGGCTTGGAATGGGGGGCCAGCACCCTATCTGACCTACTTCCCTTTCCTCCCCACCTGCTTTCATTCTCTGCTTTTCTCCCCCAGCCCTTACTGTCCCCACCCTAGAGGCACTCCACCCCCTATGCCCGGGGGGCCCTCCCCCACCCTTCCCCAGGGTGCCAAGTGCAAGCACACAAAGGGCCTGATGGTGCATTGTTAGCCCAGCCCCCGCTGCCCGCTGTGCCTTCCCAGGGCGGGCAGTAGGCCAAGGAGGAGCTGGGGGCCCTGGGTGCCAGGGGGCACCAAGGGTAAGGGGGGAAAAGATGGCACCTGTCTCCTAGACTATGGGCTCCATATGAGCCAGGGTTGAGTAGTGATGAGTGCCCCATTAGTGCAAGGCCTCTCTTCCTTGACACCTGAGCCAAGTGGGCACTGCCTTTTTTCTTCCCTAGAGCCCCTTTCTGGTGGTATTAACCCCTTCCTGACCCCTGCCCCAAGGATGGGGGGTGTGGTACCCAAGGGAAGGGACAGCGTCTGGGGGTGCCAGGAGGCTGCGTCGTGCCCACAGCAACCATGTAACAGAGGCACGCTGGGGGAGCTGGGGTCCCGGGGGTCAGGGACAGGAGGCACTGACAGAGATTTCTCCTTGTTTCATCAGCTGCTCCAGGGGGAGCCCCCTGCTCTTCTCCCCAGTCACCACTAAGGAGGAACACTAAACCCAGTCACAAATACGTCCCTTTCCAGGCTAGTCCAGCATTCGTTATGTCCACTCTTTCCTCCCAATCCAATGCCCACCTCCTTCTAGCTTGCCAGTTTTCCTGTAGTGCCAGGTGGGTATAGGGGTGACCAAAGCACCTGGAGTGGAGAGGAGCAGAAGGCAACCCCATAATCTTCCAGATCTCACTCCCCCTCTATACATACACACTCCCCCAGGGAACAGGGAGTTCCCATCCTTGTTTAACCCCTCACCGTCCAGTCTGGTTCCCCCTGCCCCTGACAAACTACCTCCCTCCACCCGGATTAAGTAGGGGGAAGGGGGAATTGCTGCGCTGACTCATTCCCATTCGTAGTTGCAACCAGGGGTCTCCAAGGCGTTAGGGCGGGGGTCAATTCAAGAACGCCCTCCACCTGGCCCGGAAGCCAGGACAGCCTGCCGGTCTCCCCCTCTCCCTAGCACCCACTTCCGGTGTCCCAAACTAGGTCAGCAGCGCTCGTTTCCTGTGGGTCAGCTAGCACCGGAGCCTCTGCCCCTCCCCTGCTCCAGACCGAGGCTCCCCGCCCCTCCTGCCCCCCAGGGCGCCCCGAGGTCTCACCACGTTTCAGCTGCCCTTTGATACGTGGGGGTTGTGCGGGGCGGGGGGCAGGGGACCCGCCCTCTCTCTAAACACTAGCAGGGCCGGGGCGTCTGGGCAGGCACGTGTCCGGGCACAACCCGCTGCCCACGCCGCCCCCCCTACTCCCGCCCCCCCCTGCTCTGGCCGGGACACGTCGCTCTCTCACTTGGGGTGGGGTGGGAGAAAGGAGAGAAAAGTGGGCATTCAAAGCAGCGCCCCCCACCCCTTTGAATGGCAGCCCTCTGTGAACGGCGCTCACTGTCAGTTCTACAACAACACAGTAGCGACCCCCACCCGGGGCAGGGGCAGGTGCGCCGGCAGCGGTGGAGTGGGGCGCTGTGGGAAGAAATCCACCTAACCTCGCTCCCTGGTTCTGGGGGCATGAGCAGCCTCCTAAAAGGTGGCGGTGGGATTCTGGCGCTTGAAGGGAGGGAGCGCGCTGGAGGGACGGCAGAGCGCGGGGGTGGCTGTATGGCGCGCGGAGGCAGCCGCCGAGCCCCTCCACCGCTGGAGAGACAGCGCGGCTCGGGAAGCGCAAGAAACCGAATAGTCCAGCCGGTAACTTTCCCCCGAGCCGCGGCTCCTCCGGGGCTCCCCCCACCCCCCAGACGACTGGCCCCGCTCCAACCCGCCGCGCCAGGGGGCGCGGGGCGGCGAGCTGTCCTAGTTAGAGCCGGTCAGCGTTTCCATTCCCTCAACCGCTCTGGTCGGGGTCTCCCCCTAAAGTCACGGAGGAGACCAGGGAGCGCTCAGCGCCGCCTCACCTCTCCATCCTGGAGACGCCAGTCTGTCTGATTCCCGGAGAAGTGCAATGAAAAGTTTCTGGGGACCCTCCGCCCGGGGCTAGGGGGTAGCCCGAGTGCCTTCTCTACTCTTCCTCCCAGTGGAAAACCATTTCCACAATTCGGGTGCTGGGAAGGCACGGGGAAGAGGAGTGGTGGGAATCTGGTCTGCATGCGTGTGTGTGGGATCCCCCTTACAGGACGGACGAAGGACACTGCAGTAGTCTCGAGTTCGAGAGACCCTAAGCCAGGAGACAAAAGTGGGGTACACTCACCTCTCGGCCGTCGGGTCCGCTGGATGTAGCTGCTGAGGCACCCGGGGTGAAGAAAAATGCGTACCCCGCCAGGCCCGGGGGCTTGGGGCCCTGCTCCGGTCCTGGTCAGAAGGCCGCGGTCAGTCGCTCGCCGCTCGCTGCTGGGGGGCTCCTCCTCCGCCGCCCTCTGCCTCCTCCTGCCGCCCGCCCCCCCTCGGCCGACGAGTGCCGCACATCCACCTGGCTCCCACTCGCCCCCCCCCTCAGGGCCCGCCTCACCTGTCCTGCTGTCTCACCTGTCCTCCTGCTTGCTTTCCCCCCATCCCTCCCCCCGCCCCCTGCCACCCCTTAAACTCCCCCCCCAACCCTTAGCAACACCCTCTGTCACTTCCTGGTTTTTCTCCCGCCCCCCCTGAGGTTCCCCCCTCCCTCCGCCCAATAAGGACATAAACTTCAACCCCTTCGGCCAGCTAGTCCTTGCAGGGCGCAAATAGGATCCTTTCCTTCTTTTTTTGCTCTCTTCCTCCGGACTCTTACTTTGGGCTCCCAGCCTTTCCCACCCTCCTATTTTCCTTCTTTCTTTCCTTCTTGCTCTCTCTTTCTCCCTTCACCTGCCGCGGTCCTTCTCCCCCTCTGGCTTTCTCTCTGCTCTTCTCCTGCCCCTATCTCTCCCAGTCCACCTTAACTTGAGCCCCGCCTCCGGCCCATCCAGCCCTCCGCAGCTATATTGCCACGCCCCCTATGCTCCACCGCCCCGCCTGCCCATTGGCCTTAACACACGCCTATCTCCAGTGAGTCCCGCCTTGTGCTCGGCCAGGGAGGGGGCGGAGCCGAGGGGCTGGCCAGAAACCTGGAGGAGGGGAAGGGGGAGGGGGCAGTGTCCGCAGTGGCCGGGCAACCGAGCGCCCCAATGTGAGGCTCCCACTTGTCCAAGAGGGGCTACTGTAGGGTTAGCATCTCATGAAGGAAGGGTGTGAGAGTTTAAGGATAAGCTAGGTGGGTGTGAGACGGGGATTTAGGGTCTTGAGGGAGGGGATCCCGAGAGGGGCCATAATCAGGTCAGGGCCCCGGGAGGGAGGGGGAGGGGAACCAACAGGCCTTCTGCTCCAGCCTCTACCTAACGCCCCTCCCCCCGGAGGGGCAGAAGAGTCGAGACTATTGACACACTGAGTCCTTCCCCACGCGTGACGGCGTCCCGCGGGGAGGGATCGGGGCCCAGGGCAAGCAGTCCCTGCGCTCTAGTCCGGTGCCCGCTGCGGCCTTGGCATTATCAGAGAGGAGGGGCTGATCGAGAGGGGAGGGGGTGAGGGAGAGGCGTTCGTGCGCTTGGTCCCCGTCTTCATCCCCGCCTGCTCCTTAACTGGAGAAACTGAATCTCCATGAAGTAGCAACATCTGGACTTGGACTCATTCTCATCCCTAAGGTGGCCAGGGGGAGCCGCTCTGTGTTAGGATGTGTGTATATGTGTGAGTATGTGAAAGGGGAACCAAGATGGGTACTTAAGTGCCGCCCCCACTCCTGGAAGCCCGAGAGGGACGCTTCCCACTAGGCCTGCACACACCAAAGAGCCCCTCCCTGGTGTCAAACGGAATCAAATCCGGCTACCTCGGGCCAGGTTCCGCTCTCCCGGGCCGGCCGGGACGAACCGGGTAGGACTTGCTTTCCTTCCCAACCCCCCTTGATAGGGGGGCCCCCTCCCTTGCCAGCAGGTGGCTCCGCAGGACACCAGCTCAACCTGTTGGACCACAATGGGCGGCGCCAGGGGGCCCTGGCCCTCACCCGGGCTGACCCGGGATCCCCTCGCAGGGGGAGGAGCTGAGCCCGGGTCCCTCCTTCCCTCCCTCTCCCTCTCGGGCCGTGACTCAGCCTCGGGGCCGCTGCCCTGCACCCCAGCCAGGGGCGGAAAGTGTGAGGCGCCCTTGAGGGCCTAGGCCAAACCAAACAGCCCCCCAACCCAGACATTATCTCACTGGAGAATTAGGGGGCTATAGAAAGGAGGGGGGAGCAGCTGTCCTGGGGCGTTCCACAACGGGTAATCCACTCCGGGTTTTCCTATAGTTCCTGCCCCCTTGGGTCCAGAGGCCGGCCACTGCTCCGGGTTTTCTTCTCTGCTCCGCTGGACACTTTCTGGTCCTACAGAGTCTGGAGCGGGTGGGGTCCAGTTCAGGGTTTTTTCCTCCCATCACTGGCTGTTGGGGTCGCGTTGGCCTGGCGAAGGATAATGCCAGGAAGCAGTGGCAGATGCACCAGTGAAATGTAGAGAGGGCAACTTCGGGGAAGAAAGGGTTTAGCCGAGGAAAGGAGGGGACAAGAAAGTGGCCCAGCGAGGGCAGCACCCTTCTAGAGGTAGTAGAAGGGCAGGCGCCTTGAACCAATCCATGGGTACAGAACAGCGAACGATGCTGCCGTCACATCTGGGGGTTACGCCTGGTGGCTTGCTGGACACAACCTGAATCCAAATTGTCACTCCCACTCTAGTCCTAAACCTTTTGTTAGTTCCCCTGCGACCCTCAAAGTTCCCTTTTCATTTGGCCTACACAGCTCCCCTTTAAGTTAAGAAATTGGAGGGGGAACCCCGGTTTGAAACTCTCGCCTACCTCTCTGCTCTTACCTCGCCAAACCACTGGGACTGCGGCAGCCCAGAAACGCTGACTGGGGACAGTCACCCCCTCCCACGAAACCCCAGCCGGGCCCCAGAGGGCCTCGCCGCCGCCTCTACCACTAGGCCCCTGACTAACAGTGCTCAGGATAAGTGTGGGGCCTAAAGGAGCCTCTCAGGTGTAGCCAGGTGTCCTACACATCTTAAGGACTGGAGTCTTCGGGCTACCAGCGAAGACCTTAAAATTTGGCGAAGTAGCAGAAGATGGATAAAGGACGAGGATTTTGCACAGAGCGGAATGAAAGTCCCAGCTGGGAGTTAACCTTTCCTAGGAAGGACTAGACACCTGGCGCTGGGAATAGCGACTTGGACTGGCAGCCAGATGCCCAGACCAAGTCACTAGGACTGGGTCCAGGTGCGCCCAGGGGCAGCTGGAGATGAAGGAGTTAGTAGCGGCTGCAGAGTCTGGGGGGAAAGAATTTCTGGTAGGGAAGAGAGGAGGGGTTCTGCTTGGGCGGGGACCAGAGTGAGTGGGTCTGGGGGCCGGTTTTGAAAGGTGGCAGGCTGAGCGTCAACCTGTGCCAGGCGCCCACCTCTCTTCTCTTTCCTCCCCCCAACCCAGCTGCCTCCGCTTCCCTCGAAAAAAAAAAAAAAAAAAAAAAAACCCGCCGCCCAGGAAACCACTGGGGGCGCTGAGACCGCAGTCCCCCCGTCCGCCGCCCCCTGGCGCCCCTACCGCGACCGCCCAACCCACCTGAAGGGGCCGTGGCTGCCAGGGGTACCCCCCTCCCGCTAACTCCCCCCACACCTGCGGGCTGCACTATTTATAACTCGGGACCTATTCCGGGCCTCTGGGCGCGAGCGGGCTGCGGCGCTGCAGCGCTAATCGCCGCCGGGATCTCTGCGCCCCCCTGGGCCGAGGGAGGTAAATTTAGCTTCAGGAAGCTCTGGGGAACATTTTCCAAAACTCCACGTCCCAAGGAGGGTGAAACAGAACCCCTCTGCCCGCAAGCTCCCTCCAGCTAGCCACTAGGCGGCGCAGTTATTCTGGCTTCTCAAATCCAGTTTAGTGTTGGTGTTGCCGCAGTGAGGGCTGAGACTCAGCACTGGGCACAGGGCGAAGCTGGAGACATTGAGGGACAGGGTGTACCCAGCCAGAGAAAGGTTCGAAGAACGACTACGGCCGGCCCCGAGGCTGGGGAAGACTCAGGAGTGAAAAGTCTCCGCTGGGAGTAATTGAAAGAGGTGGGGATTTCTGACCACTAGGAGCGAAATAACACAAATATGATGACAATAGAAATGCAAATAAGAACACGTGTGTGTGTGTGTATGTGTGTGTGTGTGTGTGTGTGTGTGTGTGTACGTCTGCCACCCTTCTTCCTGCTCACCTCTTGATATTGCTAAGAAAACTTGCGTTCCTCCCCAAAATTATTACTATAATATCTAGTTCATTGAGTGCTGCTTCTCAGACAACTTCACCGTGGCCCTTGCCCTCTGTCTGCCAATGAGGGTCCTACATCATCGAATGCAATCTTCGTTCCCCCCCTACCCCTATCCCTTGTGGCCACTAGAGGAGTCCAAGAAGCCAAGGGGTAGATAGATGGAGGTCTTACCTTGCTATCCTATTTCTTCCCCATTCGAAAGGGAGTAACTGAGACCCTCAAAACCTGTGCTCTTTCTAACTGGGAAGAGAACATTCGAGGGGGGTTCAGCCCCACCTCGCGTCTTTTTTCTTGTAGAAGAGTGAGTAGTGTGGACTAGAGATTGTGGCTGTGTGCTACTCTCTCCAGGCTTCACCTGGTTTAGATGAAAAAGGCATAGCCAGACCCCAATTAGAAGCCCTGGTGTTGCTCGGGGTTAAGAATTACACTGCTGACGGAGAAGTGGTGCATTCAAATTCATTAGTCAAAGATGTACAACCTTAAAAACCTCATGAGTAACCTATATGATCACTGCCAGTGAATGTAAGTAGATTCCACAGCGATGGGCTTTGACGACCCCCTAAATGAGCTGAGGAAGTCACAGAAATTAGGGGTGAGGTGGGAAGAGGGAAAGCAATGCAATGAGATAGCACCAGCTAATAAGGGGAAACCAGGCTAATTTTAAAATCAGTAAATTTAGGGTCATTGTTATGGATTGAATTATGCTCTCTAAAAATACATGTTATAAATCCTAACCTCGAAGCCTATGGTTTTAAGCCTATTGAGGAATGGGTTGTCTCTTTTATGTTAATAAGCCAGGATTAGTGTATAATGTATTTTGAGTCAGCCTCTTTTTTTTTTTTAAATTTTTTCCCAAGGGCTTTTTTTACTCCATAGCATCCCCAAAACAGATGTCATTGCTCTGTGTTGCTGCTGTTGTTGATGATTGCCTTCAACTCGAGCACAACTCACAGCGACACTATTGTGTCAGCCTCTTGAAAATATAAACGAAACCCCACCCCAATGCCATCAATCAAGTTGGTTCCCATCATGGCCCATCTTTCTGAGTCTGTATATGCCACTTCACCTCTCGGAGTGCTTCCTTCTGATCAACATGGACTATTTCTCCCTTCTTTGCCTGTTTTTGAAGTAGACTTCTGTGAAGCTTTTTGTATTGCTGTGTTTGGTGTGTGAGGTTATTGTTACTTTCTTACTCCTCGATCCTTCTTTTAAGCCTTTCCAGACCTGACACTCCTCTTGATCACTGTATAATCTCTATTGCTCTTTCCCCACTCCAGTTCTCCACCCCAGTCTCACCACAGGCCACAGTCTTGGGCTGTGCCTTCCTCTGCCCACCACTTCCTCAGTGGTCTTTGCTAGATATCTCTTGGCCAAGGCCTCTCTGCCCAGACCTCAGACTACAGAATCCATCTCCAAGCAGGACCCCCATTAGGTAGCAGTGCCCTCTAAGAAAGGAAAGGGGGCAAGGGCCAGACTGCAAGTCAGGTGCAAACTCAAGGAAGAAGTCCAAGATTCAGATAGATGGTGTATTCTGTGTGCAGCTCTGCCCCTCCCCACCTTCCTATCTGATTGGCTTCAATACCATACCTATTTTACTACTCTGCCATGGGATAGGGTTGGGGGACCAGACATAGATTTTTGAATGACTAAGGAGGGGGGCACTGGACTTTCAAGTAAGCTCAGATTGAAGTAATGTGCTGTCATGAAAAGAATGAAAACCAAAACTCATTGTCATGGAACTGAAATCAACACATAGCTGACCAGGTTTTCAGAGGCTGAAAAGCACATGGGAGGAGATTGCTCATCTTTCTTTCTCAAAGCAACTTATGGATTTGAAACATCTACTTTGGATTGGTAGCAAAACTCTCAACTGACTAGGCCACCAGAGTTCCCTTTAAAAAGAAAAACAAGACAAAAGGAAGAGACTGTAAATGTACTAATGTGAAACAAGTTATGTTAACAGGGAAAAAAAGCAAGGTGCCTAATAACATATAGAGTATGTTCCCAACTATGAGGAATAAGCATATCTACAGCTGCTTCTTCACACTGCTTCTGCTGTGACACTGGTTTAAGCCACTAGTATCTAGCTGGATTGTTCCCATTGCCTCATGGATAGCTCGTAGTCTAATCTTGCTCCTCTACAGTCTTCTCAATATGAGTTGTTATGTTCTGGTGAGTTGGAACCCACTCATAGGTGATACTCCTATGGGTTTTCAGAGGCAGTAAAATTGCATGGTAGGGGAGCTCTGGTGGCCTAGTGGCAAGGAGCTGCAACTACAATCCCAGAGGCACACGGTTCGAATCCACCAGATGCTCTGCCGGGAAAAGGAGGGACAATCTCCTCCTGTACCAGTCAGATCTGATTTGACGGTACACTCACACAAAAATTTAAAAAAAAAAATTGCATGGTAAACTGCCCATTTCCCTCTAGTGGCTGCTAAATCCAAACCCTTTGCCTTCATACTGGCAGCACAACTCTTGACCACTAAGACACCAGAGTTCCGTTCAATATGAGTTGTTGTGTACTGTCAAGTCATAACTGACTTATAGATGATCCTCTGGCAGGTTTTCAGAAACAGTTAATCACAAGGGAGGAGATTGCTCATCTTTCTCCAGCAGAGCTGCTGGTGGATTTGAACTGTTTACCTTTGGGATTGCAGTGCAGCTTCTTGCTACTAGGCCATGTAGGAGTCTTTCAAATCACAAATCATGCTCAAAACCCTGCAATGGTTCCTCATTTCACTGAGGTAAGAGCCCAAGTCTTCTATGACCTGCTTCTACCTCCACTTAAGCTTTGTATTCTTTTTACATAGCATCTATCACTTTTTAATATAAATATTTATTTAGTGCTTACAGTTTATCTTCTATCTTCTGATACCTAAGTTTTACGAGTACAATGATCTATTTTGTTCACTGCTGCATTTAAAGCACCCCACTGTGCAGACAGTAGACGCTCAATACTATTTGTTAAATAACTGGAATGGAGATGCTGTGTATTCCCAGACTATCTCTGAGAAACTGGTAATTATGGTTATCTCCAGGGAAAGCTGGGAGTTGGGGGCACATGGAGTATGTGTGTGTGAGAGAGAGACTTAATTTTCACTCTCGGACTTCTTTACTCCAAGCATGTATTACTTTTACAAAAAGGAAGAAGACAAAAGCCCCAGAGGAGTTAACTAAGAAAACTGAGAAAGGTCCCTGGGAAGGAGAGGAGAGCCCTGTGTCCTATCTCTAGGCTAATGCCCCAGGTGAAAAAGGGAGGTGGCAAAAACTGGGCACCACTCGGGGCCAAGGAGGCTACATGCAGATCCCAGGAGGACTGCAAATAAGCCCTGTGGCTGGCTCTGATGTTGTGGGGGTGTGCATCAGTGAGCACTAGCAAGTCGTGTAGAAGACTGATGTGTGCCTACCACTGGGAACAGTTCAGGGAAAGCATGTGTTAGTGGATGCCAAGGGATGGGAGGAGTCAGCTCTGCTCGCCCTGGCTGTTTGTTCGGATGGAACCGTACTGTCACCAGCCAGAGGGACCAGTGTGGCCATCCCAACACTCGTGCTTTGTGCATCAGCTGGAGAAGCCAGGAGCTAGCAGCAGTCAGTGCTCTCCCCTCTCCCCAGAGGCTGGAGCTACCCAAATCAGGGCCGCATCGCAGACTCTACCCAAGCTGAATCCTCTTTTGCCCAAAGACTGGAGGAACCTGGCCTTTCTACCCTCTGTTCTCCCCATTGGGCATCAGTTCTATCCAGGACACACTCCTCCCTGATCTGTACCCTGGTTTCAATACCCTTTACTGAGGATTTTTTTTTTTTTTACATTTTTCCACCAGACATTAGGAATTTGCAACTTTAGCATATTTATTATCTATTTATATAATTTATAATATAATTTATATATATTTATTTCAGTGATTCTCAGAGATCTGAGGGTTAAGGAACAGCCAATTCTTGATATTAAAGGGATACATATGCTAAGGTCAGCCAGGCTGGGGGGAACTCCAGGTCTCATGTAATCTTATTGGGGTCCTTGCGAGCATGCCAAAAACCTGGCCACCAGAACAGATGAGGCCCAAGATGAGGCAGGCCTGACGCACCGCTCAAAGCGGGATCCACATGCCACTCATTCATGGTCAATCACAGCTGGCCCCAACAGTCTTGATGGAGGGTGGACTGGGTGCTAAAGAAGAGAATGGGAAGGTGAGAGACAGGATCTGCCACACACTGCAGCCAAACCTTGTGTTCCCTACTCTGCCCACCTGAGCGTCACCAGCTGCGAAGAGGAGGCAGTTCTCTGCCATTAATCCAGTAGCTCTTTGATACACCAGCAGCAGAGAAGAATGTAGGCGATTTCCTTCAAGGTCCGCTGTAGGCCCTCCCACCCTGTGCCCATCTTCATGACAGGTACTCGGAGCCCAGCATCTCGCAGGACTCCTCCGAGGGAGAAGGGTAGGGCCTGGGCTAAGGGCTGTGTCCGTGGCTGCATGTGGGCAGCAGCTCTGAGGAAGGGTGGGAGGTGACCTCCAGGGCCTTTTATCAACACCGTTCCCCCCACACCCCCACCCCCCTCCGGCCTCATGACTAGAGACACAAAGGGCCCAGGGTCCAGCAAAGGAAGGTTCTGGCCTGGGAACAGGCTGAGTCAGCCCCTGTCCATGGTGGGTGGGGTTGGCGGTAGGAGGACCAGGCTTGTCTTTTATCCTCCCCACCAGGCCAACTCAGTTCCCCTTCCCCTTCCCTAAGCCTTGATAATGTGGGTGCTCTGCTTGGCTGCACCTTTTCCCCAGGGTAAGCATTACTCTCTGACCTCTGGGGGGCTCCCATTGAAGCTGGTGTCAAGACCCACCAATGAGTGTTCCTTTCTAGCCTGTGTGGCGTCACCCTGGGCCCCTTAGGATGAGCAGAATTTGGCCCATTTTAGCTTTGTCCATCCCCTGCAGCAGGCAGACACAGCAAAAGCAAGGGCACAGTTAGAAACGTGGTTTATTGGAGGTTACACCGCAGGACAGCCACCTCCCCTCCCTCCCAAAGAGGGCACAGGTCATGTGCGGGAGTTCCGCTCCTCATCCTCATTTTCCAGTTGGTAAGCCGGGCGGTAGGTGGGGTATCCTCCGGGGCTCAGGCACTTCAGGGCTGGGTTCTGAACAGTGTTCTCCCGGCTCCCCAGTGATGTGTACCTGAAAGGGAGAGAATGGAGGACAAGTGTGTGGTGAGGGGCTCTTCCCATCTCAGCACCCCCACGTCCCTACTCTTCCCCCAACACTCTTACCCTCGGTCATACAAGATACAGTAAGGGACAAACAGTTGACGCAGAAAGTCCCAGATGTCTCTGTAGGTCCAGTCCTGGGAGGTCAGAGAATCAGAGTCATCACAAATAACCTGACTCCCCTCTCTCACATTTGCCCATGCTGTCCTGGAAGGGGCCCACCGTTCAGCTCCCTTGACCTCTGAGGCATGTTATTATATCTGCTGTCTGATTCTCTGGTATGTCTAGCTCTATGGAAGCTAGCCAATGATAAAGAGAAAGCCTTCATTCTTTCCCCCTCTCTATTGCCAGTCTCCCCTCCACTATTTAACAGAAACTTTCTATAGTCGTGGAAATTCCCTATATCTGTGCTGTCCGACAGGACTACTGAGCTCCAAAATGTGGCTAGTGCAACTGAGGTCCTGGATTTTCAATTTAATTTTTTTAAATTGAGATATAATTTACATATTGCAAGACTCCTCTACTTAAAGTATACAGTTCAGTGGGCTTTGGTCATTTGTATTAGCTTTAATTAATAAAAATTTAAATATTAACTATTAAAAAAAGCAACCCAACTCATTGCTGTCAAGTTGGAACTGACCCTCCAGTGGATTTCCAGAAGCTGTAAAGAGCATGTGAAGAGATTGCTTATCTTTCTCCTACAGAGCACCTGTAAAGAGCATGTGAAGAGATTGCTTATCTTTCTCCTACAGAGCACCTGGTAGCTTTGAACTGACAGAGAGGTGTCACCTTTGGATTAAGAGCTCAACTTCCTATGGACTAGGTTATGCCAGTTATTTAAGTTATTTAAGTGTAAGTAAATAGCTAGGGTCTTCCTCTCTTTCACCAACCCTCCACCTTTCCTAGCATAATGTCTATCTATTTCCAAGGACTGGTTCCTTCTGAAAATAGATCCTCAATAAGATGGATTAACACAGTTGAGTTGACTACCACAGTGAGTTTGAGCATGATGGAGATTATAAGAATGGTGCAGGTTAAGGGCAGGGTTCAGCTCTCTGTTCACAGGCTTGCTGTGAAGTCGTACTTGACAGCACCTAACAATAACAGCAACAAATATCTAGAGACCACTATCGTATTGGACAGCACAGTTCTAACTCATTGTTCTGCTCATGGTGGAGTGCACAATGCCAGCCAGCCAGTTGTTGTTGTCAGGTGCCACTGAGTTGATTCAGACTCATAGCAGCTCCATGTCACACGGTACAGAGTGGAACTGCCCCCTAGGATTTCCTAGGCTGTCATCTTTAGAAGCAGATGGCCAGGTCTTTCTCCTACAGAAAAGTTAGGTTGGTTGTAAATTATAATCTTTCACCTAGAAGCTCACCAGAGCTCAATGAAGATCAGTCAGAAGACTGAATGAACAAGGGTATGGCCCCTCCCTTGGACTAAAGGTCTTGTTCACTGTTTCTGAAGCTGCTGGCTCCCGGCCCTCTAGCTTTTAAGGAGTCAGGGTGCAGTGATGACAGGGATAGCGGTTCCCCCATTACCAGCAGTGGGTTGACTCGCATGAATGAAGGCCAGCCTGGGTCCGTGGGGCTGAAGGGAAGCAGGCTGCAGGAATATGGGTCAGTGCGGCGGGTGCCCATCAGGACGGCCTCCAGTTGGGGATGCCGTGCCTGCAGCTCACCCAGAGCCTGTTTCATGTCCCCCTGAGCCTCCAGTACATGCAGATTATACCTTGGGAGGGAAGAAGGAGATGTGGAGGTCAGGAGTGAGCCCTGCTAAGTCCCTCCTGGAGCCCAACCCGCAGGCTTCTAATACCTCTTGATGGTGTCCTGTAGAAACTGCTCCAGCTCAGGGAAAGGGGCAATGCTTTGGATATACAAGATCTGGAGGGGTTCTTGGACATCTGGGCATTTCCTGAGAAGGGATACACAATAATTATGGTGGGGAATGGAATTAGGAGGTCACCACGATTACTATCCTCCCAGTCTACCCCAGACACTCCTTTACTCTCTGCTTCCAGGATTGAGGAAGAGGAGCAGGGGGATCAGGGTGCCTTTCAGGGTATAGGCTTACCTCCTAACAGCTGCGTGGAATAGGTGAAGGAGGGCAGTGCAGTCCTTGCCCCCATTGAAGCCCACGCAGAGCTGGGTAAGGGTGTACTGAGCCAGGCCCTTTTCAATGGTCTGCAGGGCGCCTGCCACTTTTTGTCCCAGAGGAGATCCTTCCAGGTAGGCAGAGAAGAAGTTAACAGATAGAAACACAGGTCTATCAAGAGGGAGTGGAGGTTACACTACCCTTGCCTAAAACCCCCCACTACCCTCCCAGTGTTCCCCTAGGATCAAGTCCAAGCTCCTTCATGCCACCTATTGGGGCCTGCAGAGTTAGCCTCTGTGTGCCTTCAGCCACTGATACCTCACGTCAGTCTTGCCCTCAGTGCCTTCGCTAGGTGGCCTGCTTCCCTTCTATTCCCTTAAAGCTCATGCTGTTTCCTTTCTGGGTCTTGCTCATACTGGTCCTCTTGCCTACTTCTAGCCTCATCAAACCCTCCTTATCCCTCAGCTGGATGCCACTTACCCAGAGGAGTCTTTTTTAAAAAGTTTTGAACTGTAATATAACTACTTAAACAGTTCCAATTAACTATGTTACTTTCCATTCATAACTTTTTTTAAACATCAGAAATGTTTTCATTTTTATTCTATTGTTGCATTTTCTTCTCCCTTCCCTCCTTCTCCCTCAGCCCTCCCCACAATTCAGCCCTTGTTCCATACTGTTGTCATACATATAATGCCAAATCATCCATTCCTTTCAGACAGTTCTTCCCCTTATCTGATCTAATGCAGTGTTCTTTATCTATCCACTCTTTTCCCATTCTCTTCCCAACTCCCCCATTCCTATCCTATTTTATGACAGCGGTATCATTATACAGCATTTGTCACTCAGCATAATGTCCTCCAGGCCTCCTCATATGTGTAATGTTTTACAATTTCATTGTTTTTCAGTGCTGCCTAATATTCCACTGTGTGAATGTACCATGGTTTTTCTGCCTATTCATTTGTTGGTAGGCACTTGAGTTGTTTCCATCACTTTTACTATTGTGAATAGTGCAGCAGTAAACATGGATGTGCCTACAACTGTTTGAGTTATGGCTCTGGTTTCTTTAGGGTATGTTCCCAGTAGTGGAACTGCTGAGTCAAATAGTATTTCTTATTTCCAACTTTTTGAGAAAGCGCCAACCCACCTTTCATCGTAGCTATACCATTTTACATTCCCACCAGCAGTGAATAAGAGTTCAAATCTTTTTTTTTTTAAATTGTATTATTCTTACGTGTACCATCAAATCAGATCTGACTGGTACAGGAGGAGATTGCCCCCTCCTTCTCCAGCAGAGCATCTGAAGAGTTCCAATCTTTTGACAACCTTGCCAGCATGTACTGTTAGCTACCCAGTTGAACTTTGTTCTTGTTGCTGAGAGGAGCCTCCTTTGACCCCATTTCAAGGTTGAGCTCCCTTGTGGAGCCCCCTCCTCCCTCACATCACTGGAATGATGTCCTGTTTAATGTCTAACTTTCCTCCTAAGCCAGCTCAGTGGACTAGGCAGGCGATTTGAATCATCCAGTTGCTCTGTAGGAGAAAGATGAGCAATCTCCTCTGGTGAGATTTACAGCCTCTGAAAGCCCACTGGAGGGTCTGAATTGGTTCTGACTTCACAGTAAGAATTTTATATTTTTCCTGTTAAACTAATGTCCCCTTATGAGTAGAGCAGACATTTATCCTATTGAGATATATGTTATTTAGCCCAATACCCATAAGTAGCTATTTTCTACTCTCCCAAGATTTATGAAAAGTCCCCAATATTCCATACATCCCTGAGACCTTCGGTGGCACCAATGGCTGGTTCCAACGGCTACCGGAGGTGGCCCTAACCTGATTCGGTGAGTTTGTACACAGCTTCACTGGCCTGCTCCACAGCGTTGGGCATGTAGGGGACCAGTGATCCCTGGGGAAGACGGGCTGTCAGGTAGGCCAGACCTTCCTCCAAAGGCTCTTCCTCTTCTGAGTCCAGGGTCAGTTTCACCTGGTAGTAGTTGCTGCTCCAGTCAGGGTAGGAACCGAGGCCAAGTCTGCGCCCAAAGTGGGCCTGGGCCTCCGTCAGGATGGGGGCAATAGAGGCCTCATCAGCGGCCACATACAGCTCCCGCAAGTGGAACTGAACAGCTGTGTTCTGGAACAATCCCTTCAGCCCCTCCAGTGCTCGCCGTAGAAGCTCCGGGATGCCTGGGAAGAGGTAGACGTTTTGGACAGAGACCAGTGGGAACTTGAAGGGGCGGCCGGTTCGAGGATCAGTGCCGTAGTGCAGGCTGGCAGAGGAAGGCACCAGAGTCATCTTCTCCCGGCCCTCCCCTCCCAGGGCTTTGATGGCGGCTTCCAGCTCAGGGTGTGGCTTCAGCTCATCCCCAAAGGCCTGTGCCACTGCCTCAAAGGTCACGTCATCATGAGTGGGGCCAATACCCCCTGCTGTGAGGACATGAGTGAACTGCCTGGAAAATGAGGTGACCTCAGCTGCAATGGTGGCTACCTCATCAGGTACAACAGAGACCCGGCACACCTGGACCCCCAGGGAGCGCAGCGTCCGGCACAGAAAGTAGGTGTTGGTGTCCTGAGTGTGGCCCTGGATCAAAAGGAGAGGAGGCAGAGAATAAGAATGTCAGTACTGCGGGGACGAGGGCACAAGGAAGAGATGACAGCTGATTGATGATAGGTACTCTGTTATTTGGGGAACACCACTATTACAGCCTTCAAGAAGCCTAGACTGAGTATAAAAGTAGAAAAAACCTTCTGGAATGAAGTTAGTGATCTACCATGGGCCAGCCTGCCGCCTTTGCACTATGTCTCTGACCTCACCTGTGGTAATCAGTCAATTTAATAGTCCTTGGCTGGCACAATGGTTAAGTGCCGGACTACTATCTGAAAGGCTGATTCTTTGAACCTACCTAGAGGCATCTGGAAGACAGGCCTGGAGATTTGCTTCTAAAAGGTCACAGCCTTGAAAATCCTGTGGAGCAGTCCTACTCCATAGACATTCAGATCAGCAGAGTCAGGATCAATTTGACAGCACTTAGTCCACTGTCTCACAATCCTGATCTTTTCCCCTAGTTTCAGTCCCTTGGCTACAAGTGCTTGTGGGATGCCTTTACCATATCCCTGGCTGTTGTCACTTTAGTTAATGGCAACCCTAGGTACTGTACGTCCATGGACCTCACAGGATGAGGCAGTATGCATCCTGCTAATTTTCCTTGTGAAGTTCTCCTCATTTGCTCTTTCTCTTTCGCCCCACTGCCAACAAGTAGATCCTTGGTACCTTTCACCTTGACAATGGCAAGAGCCTTTCTGGCCAGGCTACTAGCCTCCTATCACAACAGTCTGTCCAGGGCCTCCCGAATAACCTTCCTAATGCCTCACTGTGATTGCATCACTCTTGGGCTCAAAAGCTATTTGTTGTTTCCAATTTTATACAGAATAAAGTTCAAATTCCTCTGCAGAGTATTTGAGGCTGCCTCTCTATAGTGTGTGGCCAATTTTCTTTCCTTAAACCATCTCCTTCTGATTCCCCACAGAGGATTTAGGGGTTTTGATTTTGTGCTCTGGAGTAAAAGTGAATGAGGCTGGAATCCCAGTTCTACTACTTCAAGCTGTGTAACCAGGGACAAGTTTCTCAACCTCTCTGAGCCTAATTTTATAATGTTTGCTATTGTTTTTGTGTTGTTGAATCGGAACTGACACATATCTGACCCTCCAGTAGGTTTTCAGAGGCAGTGAATCATGAGAGGACACTGTCCATCTTTCTCCGGTGGAATATCTGGTGGATTTGAACTGTGTGCCTGTGATATTGCAGCACAGCTTCTTACCATAAGGTTATATATTCACTTATTCATTCACTCACTGTTGCCAAATCAGACTGGCCTATAACTGATCCTCCACTGAGTTTCTAAGGCTATAAAGCACATGCCAAGAGATCTCCCATCTTTCTCCTGAGGCACTGATGGTAGATTGAAGTGCCAGAGAGGCTAGGTCTTTGGGTAAGCAGCGCAACTCGCGATAGACTATCCCACCTGAGCTTTATAATCTATTAAGTATAATCAATTAATTTAGATTTACAATGAATCACCAACCTCATAGTTTGGTGGTGAAGATTAGTAAAATCTTGTAATATAATAAGTGTTTTTGGGCCCTATTAAGCAATCAAAAACAACAAAGCAAACCCACTGCTGTAGAATCCACTCCAATTCAGAGACCCTATGTGACAGAGTAGAACTGGCCACAGGTTTCTAACGCTGTCAGTCTTTACAGAAGCAGACTGCTACATCCTTCTTCAAGGAGTGGTTGGTGGGTTGAACCTCTGACCTTTTTGTTGGCAGTCGAATGCTTTAACTACTTTACTACTAAGGCCCTTCATTTAATAAATAAGGGTCGGCGTTACTATTAAAAGGAGCTCTGGTGGCTTAGTGGTGAGGAGCTGTGCTTCCAACCCACAGGAAAGAGGTTCAAATCTATCAGCTCTTCTGCAGGAGATGGATGGTCAGTCACCTCCTGTGCAATTTACTGCTTCTGAAAACCTGCTGGAGGGTCAGCTCTGGGTCAGTTCCAACTTGACAGTACACAACATTACTATTTTTTTTTCCAATGTTCAGTTTCCTTTAATGACCCCTATTCTCCCCGAAGGGCAGGTGCAGGCAGCGAGGTGACAAGCCGTTGGCTCACTTAACATTACTATTAAAGGGAGTTCTGGTGGACCAGTGGGTAATAAGTTTCCATGCCAACCCAAAGGCATGCAGTTTGAATCCACCAGCTGCTATGTGGGCAGGATGGTGGTGGGGGTTATGTAAGAGGAGGTGAGGATGGACAGTCAGCCATGCTAAGTTCCAACTCAACAGCAATGAGAGAGAAGAGAGATTACTACTAAAGGAGCTCTGATGAGGAGTGATTTCTCCCTTCTAGTGTTTTCCTTCTGTTTTATTTATTCACATTGCTGGTGCCAAATTAAGTGGCTACAACTCTCAAATAAACAATATATGTACTTGTATCTTATCTAGGCTTTGGATTCCCTGTCATATATGGAATTAGGGATACTTCCCTAACCACTGAGCTTGGCCTACTGCAGGGGCTTGCTTTAAGTTTTTCGACAGAGTAATTAAGAGAATGAAAGTCCTATTTCCTCCAATATTTGGGACTCCCCCGTGACCCGACTGCGGCGAGATGGACCCACTTGGTTCATCCTCAATGTTAGGGAGTCATTAGAGAGACACCTAATGACAGGAGAATGCCACCCCTCCCCCGCTTCGTCCCAGACGCACCTTAAGGATCTCATCTCCAACAATGATGATGCCAGCCGTCACGCTGCGCCCTGGGGAAGTTTCAGAAGACCTAGAAGTCATGGTCTTGCTTTCTCTGCCCCTCTGCAAGGCCCTCCAGTAGCCACCCAGACCCCGAAATAGGGGTCGTATGCACTGGGGTCCTGCCAGATCTACAGGGAACTGGGGGCCATAGCCTGGGAAAGGGGGTCGAGAAAACCTGGAGGAGTCAGAAAGAATTATGAGGGAGAGCATTCTTTTGCATCCTTTCCAACTAAGCTCTTGACAAGCGACTCCTTTATTCTTGCCTCTTTAATACATATATTCTCAACCTCTAGCCCCTGCTCATTTAAATATGTCCTCTAAGCCTGCCGCTAGTCTCCCGTTTGCGTCTCCGAACACCTACCCCTTTAAATGTACTCCTTTAAATGTCTAACCAGTTACCTCTAGTGTCTGAACTACCACAACAGGCATCTTCAGTATAAATGTTTCTTCTCTTGGGGCATCTGCCCCTTTAAATAAATGTCTGTTCTATCCAGGGTAGTTATTTAAATGCATTCCCTCTCTTAACCACCATCAGGACTTATTGCTTTCACTTTCTCTTCCAGTCGTTCGCACCCTTGCTAACCGAGAAGCCCCCTTTTCCATCAAGCTTTTGAATATAGAATTCTTCCAGGGACTCACTCACCTGCCTCTTTCGCCCCTTCACCCGGTCTTTCTTTCCTCTTGTCCCAGGGCAGCTTCCGTACTCGGAGCCCCGCCCTAGACCGAGCCTGCTTTATGCTAATTGGTCAAGCTGACTTTCACTCAGACCGCCTTCCGGGTCCCTATTGGTGAAACTGATTGCGGCTTTACTGTGTGTGTGAGAAAGGTACTTGTTGTCTTTAGGGTCACCACGTGCCACTCCCTCACTTAGAAGCTCCAAGGTCGGGCTTCTCCTCTAAGGGAAGGCTTTAGGACTATGGGCGAACGAAGGACCTGTGCGTGGAAATGCTTCACGGACTGCCGTCGAGTCGGTGGGTGTGGTATCCTTGTTTTTGCAAAGTTCGGCTTATACCACTTACTTTTAGAAAAGATCTAAATTAGTACCTTTTTTTTTACAGAAGAGTGGATTTTCATTCATTCATTGTTGCACATTTCTCTCCTTCCCCCAGTTCACTTTCTTTTTTTTATTTTTAAAATTCATTCATTCTTGTATAATTTCATCCTCCCTCTTTTTTTGTTAGCCAGAAGAAGTCACAAGAGGATTTTCACTTTGGTGAAAAAGATGAAAAAACAAACTAGGGTTTAAGAATTGTTTTGCTGCAACCTTTACAGAGACAAGGGTGCACATTGAATGATGAGCAGCTTCGTCAAACTCTGTCCCCAGAACTACACTGTATGTACGGAGTTTTGGTGACATAGTGGTAAGAAGCTTTGCTGTCAGTATAAAGGCATGAGGTTAAAATCCACTGGTGCTTCACAGGAGAGAGGGATGAGCAGTCACCTCCCATATGATTTACTGCCTCTGAAAACCAACGACACATACCAACAACACACTGTATATACTTATGTCTGTGAACTTTGATAAATATCGATAGTTGTAGAGGGGCTTCAGGCCTTTTGTTCATAGGGTCGCTATAAGTCATGCTCCACTCGAAGGCAATCTGCAACACAGAGTATACACATGGTTTTCACCTAATGATATGCCCAAGAATCAGACAGAGTATGTATGTGAAAACTAGGCCAGGCGCTGATTGTAGAACAGAATATTAATTGCTCATATGGAAGTTCAAACTAAAGCCAAAGAGGATTAAATCAAATCCACAGGAACCAAAATTTGACCCTGAGTCTATCCTACCTGAATTTCAAAACCATCTCAGGAACAGGTTTGAGGTCTTGAACACTAATGAGTGAAGACCAGATGAGCTGTCGGAGGATATCAATAATATCATCCAGGAAGAATGCAAAGGTCATCACAAAGACAGAGGAGGAAGAAAAGACCAAGATGATATCAGAAGAGACTGAATATTGCACTAGAATGCTGAGAAGCCAAAGCAAAGGGAAGAAATCAAGAAATTAAGGAGCTGCATTGTTCACAATAGCAAGAGATGGAAACTACCAAGTGCCCATCAATAAATGAATGGATAGAGAAGCTGTGGTACATTCACACAATGGAATACTATGCAGCACTGAAGAAAGAACTTATGAAATATTATACAAAATGGGTGGAAATTTTGCTGGAGGACAATATGCTGAACAAAATAGCTCAAAAAAGGACAAATACTGCATAATGCCACTGTTATAAAACAGGACTGATATAGGGGTTGGGGAGGAACTAAGAAGAGAGGGGATAAATAATGTACACTGCATTGAAACAGATGATGAATAGAACTGCTTAAAAGTAATATATGATTAGGTATTATTTGCATGACAACAGAATAAGAGCTACATAGTAAAGTGGACAGGTGAGGGGGATTATACAACAATGAAATATTTTTTTTTCCCCAAAGAGAAAAGCAAACTGGGGGTGGTAGGCAGGGAGGAAAATGGGCAACAATGAACAAATTGAAATAAAAAAAAAGTTAAATAATGCAAAGGGTTACTTTAATATGTATGGATGACTTACTTTAAGAAAACTCTTAGGGGAGCTCTGGTGGCCTAGTGGCAAGAAGCTGCAACTACAATCCCAGAGGTGCACGGTTCGAATCCACCAGATGCTCTGCCGGGGAAGGAGGGGCAATCTCCTCCTGGACCAGTCACATCTGATTTGATGGTACACGCACACAGAAATAATAAAATAAAAATGTATTTAAAAAAAAAAGAAAACTCTTCATCCTGATCTTGACACCATTTATCTATTCCCGGGGGCTGTGTTTAGTAATATAATGTGGCAGGGGCAGGGTGGAAGCCACTGGAATGGAGGATACTTTTAGAACTTCTGAACAGATTAGCAAGATGAAGTTACCAAGAGGAAAATGACTGGAAGAATTTCCACCTATGCCATTTTATATATACTCTAGGAGTTCTACAATACATGGGTGCACCTTTCTGCCACGTATGAGGATTAATAAAAAGAAAAAAAGAAATTAAGGAGCTGAAAAGATTTCAAAGGGCATCACGGGAAGACAAAGCAAAATATTATAATGAAATGTGCAAAGAGCTGGAGTCAGAAAACCAGTGGGCTGAAGGAACCAAAGAACAAATTCAAGCCTCCAGTTGGCAATATTTAAAGATGCTTTGGGTAGAATATTAAGTGATACAGGAAGCATTAGAAGAAGATGGAGGGAGTATATAGAATCACTGTACCAAAAAGAATTGGCTAACAAAGAAGAATTTTATTCAACAATGTATGACCAAGAGCCTGTGTTGATGAAAGAAGTCCAAGCTGCTCTGAAGGAATTGGCAAAAAACAAGGTCCTAGGAATTGCTGGTATAGCAATTGACATATTTCAACAAACAGACAGTCTCTCTGGAGACTAAGGTGTATCTGATATAGGCCATGGTCTTCGCAATCACTTGTTATGCATCAGAGCGTTGGACAATGACCAAGGAGGATAGAAGGCGAATTGATGCCTTTGAGCTTTGGTGCTGGAGAAGAGTATTGAGAATACCAGGGACTGCTAGGAAAACAAAGATTTGTCCTGGAAAGGGTTAAACCGGGTGGCTCCTTGGAGGCAAGGATTCTGAGGCTCCATCTAACATACTTTGGACATGTTGTGAGGAGAGAACGGTCCTTGGAGAGGGACATCATGCTTGGGAGGGTGGAGGGACAGCACAGGAGAGGAAGGCCCTCTATGAGGTGGATTGATTCAGTGACTGGGATAATTGGGATCGGAGTGGCAGAGACAGTGCGATTGGCACAGGACAGAGCAGAGTTTAGGGCTGTTGTCGCTATGAGTCGCAAGCGACTCGACGGCACATAACAACAACAACAACAACAACACTGCCCTGGACACACCAGCTTGTGCCAAGATATCTGGAGGACAACAACCTGGCCAACTGACTGGAAGAGATCCATATTTGTTCCCATTCCCCAAAGAGTGACCTGACAGAGTGCAGAAATTATCAAACAGTATCACTAATATCATATGCAAGCAAGATCTTGTTGAAAATATAAAAAAACCCCGAATGGAATAGCACAACAGAGATCTGCCAGGTGTTCAGATTGGGTTTAGAAGAGGCCATGGCACTAGGGATATTATAACTAACATTAGATGGGTCTTTGCTGAAAACGGAGACCACCAGAGGAAGGTCTGTCTGTGTTTCATTGACTGTGCTCAGGCATTTGACTGTGTGGATTACAACACATTGTGGCTGAGTCAGAAGAATGGGATCCCAGAACACTTGATTGTGCTTATGTGAAAACTATTCTTGGACCAGGAGACAGTCATCAGAACAGAGCAAGGAAACACTGCATGGCTCAAAATCAGTAAATGTGTATGCCAGGGATGCATCCTATCTCCATACCTTTTCAATCTATATGCAAAATAGATCATCCAGGAGGCTGGGCTCTGTGAGGAGGAATGTGGCATTAGGATTGAAGGAAGATTCATCAACAACTTGTGTTATGCGGATGATACAACATTGCTTGCTGAAAGTGAGGAGGACTTGAAACACTTGCTGCAGAGGATTAAACACAACAACTACATCTCAACATCAAGAAAAAAAATTTCTCACCACTGGGCCAATAGACAAATTACCATGATCGATAGAGAAGAAATAGAAATTGTCAATTATATCATCTTACTTCAATCCACAGTTAACATACTTGGCATCAGTTGCTAGGAAATCAAAAGAATTTGCACTGGAAAAATGCCTGAAGAATTTCTATTTGTGCATTATTTACTATGCAAACACATTTGACTGTGTGGATCATAACAAGTTATGGCTAACATTGAAAAGAATGGGAAACCCAGAACACTTAATTATGCTTATGCGAAACCTATACCTAAACTAAATGTTGTTGTCTGAATAGAGCAAGGGGACACTGCATGGTTTAAAATTAAGGTGTGTGTTAGGGTTGTATTCTTTCTCCATATCTATTCAGTCTGTATGCTGAACACATAATTCAAGAAGCTGGACTCTATGAAGAAGAATGTGGCATCAAGATTGTAGGAAGACTCATTAAAAACCAGTGATATGCAGATGATACAATCTTTCTTGCGGAAAGTGAAGAGGAAATGAAGCCCTTGATACAGAAGATTAAAGACTACAGCCTTATTGGGCAACAATGAAAGAATCTTTTTAAAGAGAAAAACAAACTTGGTGGGTGGGTAGGGAGGAAAATGTGCAATGAAGAATGAATGGAAATCCAAGTTTTGGGTTTTATTTTTTTTTAATTTTATTATTTGTGTGTGTGTGTGTGTGTGTGTGTGTGTGTGTACTGCCAAATTAGATCTGACTGGTACAGGAGGAGATTGCCCCTCCTTCTTCAGTGGAGCATCTGGTGGATTTGAACTGCTTACCTCTGGGATTGCAGTGCAGCTTCTTGCCACTAGGCCACCAGAGCTCCCTGGAAATGCAAGTTTTCTGTAAACTTTCGTTAAAGTAGCAATAATTTAAAAAAAAAGAAAAGACCACAGATTTCACTATAGATTACATCTCAATATCAAGAAAACAAAATTTCTAACCACTAGACCAACAGGTAAAAATAATAATAAATGGAGAAATGATTGAAATTGTCAATGGTTTGTTTAATTTTACTTAGACCTATAATTAACACCCTTAGTACCAGCG